AGGCAGCGGAGGCCGGGGTCGCGGGGCCTGGGGCAAGGGGCAGTGGCGCTGGGGTCGCCTCAGGCCTGGGGCTGTTCTCAGTTTGCAAGGAGTGCTTATTAAGAAGAGTTCACAAGATTACTTTCCTGTTGTCGCAGGAGATTACGATACCAGAAGGATTTTTTAAGGTAAAGCTTTCCCTGCTTACATTCCTTGCTGTCAGTGAGAGAAAACACAGATATTCCCGACTCTCTGCTGATAAGCTTCCATCCCTTTGCACAGGTCAACTTTTTAAAAAAAGCTATAGCTTCTGGTGCTTACACAAGAGCAGACCGAACCCATGGTATGTAAGCAACGGTGTGCTACGTTCACTCTTACATCATTAACGTACTACCCACAGAACTACTACGGTCCTCCATAGCCGAGTTCAGATATACTTCACTTACTTAAATTCAGTCAAATACAATCTGCTGATAGAAAAGGTGGCCATTTGCTGCCTTAAGCTTAGCTTTATATGTGTTCAGGGAAGAGAGCAGGCCATCCAGACGCTGCCTCTCTTTCAGAGCCGCACTGTGAAGTGGAAAGATGTGTGATAATGACCCACGTAGGTGCTATTTTTAACTCCACCAAGGGCCACCGTTAACTGGACAGACGGAGAAGCATGGCCCAGATAAAAGCAGTTGGGCCACACTCTGTGCTGAATGCCTACCAGCAGGCCGTACGCGTGACGTCTCCCGGTAGGACAACACAAGCCTGGGGAACATGCAGGATCCCCAGGCAGGATGGTACAGACTTGTCTGTGCCACAATGTTCGGCTGCAGGAACTGGCTTGAGAGGCAGATAAGTAGGGCAAGTCCGTAATTCCCAAGGCATGGGAGTTTCTGCTAAAGTAAGGTATTGCCATGGGTGTGCCCTAACTTCTGCCTGGGGTTGGGATGAGCCTAGCATAGCTCTGCTGGCAGCATCCCAGACTGCAGGACTGAGCAGGTAGGTTTAGCCAGTAACATTTACTGTTACTACCTATGGGTTCCCAGTGCCTTCATTACCTTTTTTTTTTTTTTTACATTAGTACATTATAAATCAGATTGCATTACAGAGGCTGGTATCTCTCTTCTGAAGGAAACTCCCTTTTTGTTTGTTGTCTTGGTAATATCTCAGAACTGGCTGAATGAACTCCAAAGCCACCAAGCGTGTGACTAGGCTATGCTGTGGTCTGAGGGAGACGGGACTTAACGGAGATAGAAGCAATTGTCACTTCTTGTAAGGTGTTCGGTAGCATCTAAGGCTATTTTGTAGTTGTTCCCTTTTGAATCTTTACCTACCTTAATGCAGCATTGCTAGATTAGGAACGCAGATGTTAGTGTTGAAGACAACTGTCTTGAGGAGGGACTGCTTTTCAAGGAGTCATGAAATACAGGACAAGACTGCAAAAGATAACCACCTTTTTCTAGTTACTGTTGTCTTTAAGAGTTGTTTTTCCTGTTCAGGCCTTCTCCAGGAAATACAAATCAATGATGCATGAATTATAAAGGCTAGCTTACCATTTAAAGCCTAACTTATTTAGGCCACCTTATTTATTTATTAGGAGGTGTGGGAAAAGCAAGACAACGGCAAAGCTACAGGAACTGTAAGATTAGGTGACAGAGAAGGAATGAAAACTAGACAATGGGCATAGGACCAGCTTAAAAAATACTTCAAGCATTATGTTAAAACAAACAAATGCTGGTATTCACACAAACTGCAGGTGTTCCTCACCCTTTTCATTGGCACTTCACCATCTTTCAGGTACAGTATCTCTCCTTTAAAGAGGGAATGCAAATCAAAACAACAGTTACGATAAATAACAAGCCTGTGTAATACAAGTGACTGCAATTAGGTGGCTGGGATGTACTGGAAATCCCCTTCCAGATGTACATCTATTCATTTCCTTCTGTTTATGTGCTACACCTGACGGAGTTTTCCAAAAAGAGAAGCCTTTCCTACCCGCCCACACCCCCTGCCTCTGCTGGAATGGCAGGACTAGAGCTAAGGGCAGGACGTGGTGGCAGAGCAGCAGCCCTGGAGTGAGATCCCGAGCTATGGTAGAGAGCAGGAGATCGGTGGAAGCAGATTAGTGATGAGTGACCTAGTTTTCTCCCTTGTTGCATCTTCTCCAAAGCTACCCACCATAGTGACCAAAAAGCAACACCGATTAAGTTGAGAAAGCCACCTCATTAGGGGAGATTACAGTGTACGCAGTAGAGCTGTATGACACTGATGTTGAAACAAATTTACAAAAAAAGCGTGACGGGAGCTCCTTGAAGCAGTTGAGTAAATGCCAGCCACTGGAATAAGGCAGATACAGGCCAGGGCCGCACTGACCTCAGGAAGGAATATTCATAAATGCAGCTGTGGGGTTTTTTTGCTTTTCTTCTTGGAGGGTGAGGGAGAAGGAAGTAGAGGAATGGGAAAGCAGCTTAAAAGCCCAAACCACTGAAGGGAGACGGACTCTCTTTCAGGTGAAGGCCGGTGAGGTTTATTGCTACTGCACCATTTGGGGAACTCCCCTGGAGTCAGCCAGGCGGGGGCACAGCCCTTGCCCTGGTCTCGGTTCTGGTGTTCTCACGCAGGTATCCCATTTTGTGCGCGATGTTATTACGTGAAGTAAATACAGGATGACTGGCTAGCAAAGGGAAGATTCCAGGTACTGCAACAAAGAGCTCAGAAAAGACGTGAACGCGTTGCATCTGCTGAAGCTTCTTCAGCTCTTGAGGCTCTATTTTTGGGTGTTCAGTGCTGCAACAGAACTTCACAAACCCCGATCACCATACTAATGTGGTAGAATGTGTGATTTTTGAACAGCTGAAGCATTTTTAACAGCTATTTCTGAATATCCCTTATGGCACAAGGGAAAGAAAAAAAAACCAACCCAAACTCAATTCTAGACACTTCCTAAAGGCAGGGTTAGGCCAACTCTCATCAGTGGTTTTCTGCACAGCCCAGAGAAGCACAAAGCTGTGAGGCAGTCGATAGGCAATGGTTCTGCAGCTGCAGGTGTCCTCCTGCAAATTAAATTTGCTCCCCAAGAAGAGACTGCAGCCCAACAGGCTGGTGCTTGCATTTCAGATGTAGCGCTAGAAATTTAAGGTTAGTATAGTATGGTAGCTAGACCATATAACCTAAAAGTCGCATGCACATTTCAGGGACTGCCCTTTTCAGCTGACAAATACGAACTGTCTGGAAATAAAGTGGCCATTTACTCAATTCTCAAGCTTAAAATCTGCAGGACAGCTTTATTACCACCGGTCTACTCAGAGAACTGAGGTAGGAACATGGTGGAGAGGAGGAAGAGGAGATTTGTAAAATTCCCCCGAAACTGTTCAGTTTGAAGCAAAGCAGCTCCTTGTCTACACAGAACTAGCCCTGAAAGTCTGAAGGAATTTGGTTTATTTATTTTGTAATGTTTGGGGTTTTTATTCAATGTTCATACTGCAAAGCATTTAAAAAGTATTTATTGTTCTTTATCAAAAATCATCCCCTGTAGTTCTGGTATCACCTCTTTGCTTTCTGCACCTTGCGTGCTAGGCAGGAACTTCGTACCAAACGACACTCGAGTATTAAAGGCACACAGGAGTGATTAGAAGCAAAATTTAAGTGATCCATGCTGTTCCTCTCTTTAAAACTGGGGTCATCACAAACCTAACTCATCTACGGCTTAGGGCATGAAAGCACAATAAAGGATTATGCAGAAGTACCTTTGCCAAATCAGCTTCATTGTTTTACCCAATTCATTTCTTATTTCGTTTCAGTCCCCGACTTGATGGTGAAGGAAGGAGAACAGGGAGAAGGATTGACTGGCACTACATTTTGTGAAAAGGGCCTTCTGCGCGGAGCCTCGTCTTGCACGGTGGGTCTGGTAAATCCCACCTTAATTGTCTACTCTCAACAAAGCAGCAGTCCAGGGAATTGCAGCTCAAGAGGACAAAGCAACCAGACCAGCGGTCTTAGTCTCAGAGGGAAACAAGAAGCCAAAGCCATCGGATTACACAGAAACACATTCTCAAATGTTTTCCTGCTGTGGTAAAGATACCTTCAAGTGTTTTGTTCCCCAAACAGCACCAGCAGGCTGTAGGTAGCAACAGCAGTGTTACGAGAATTTGAACTTTAAGGAGGGAAGAAGGCTACTTTACTTTACTCGTATAGAATGAAAGGGCATGGTAGGGAGACAGCCTTTTTGTAAATAATAACAACGAAAAACAAACCACCAAACCAAAGGGCTATCAGGGTTTAGGGAAGAAATACATTTAGAAACTTTACATATGCAGAAGTGACATTTTGCCAACTTTGTTTTAGGAAGTGAAATTATAATGAGTCATTAGCAAAGTTTTCCCCTGTCCCAGCCTCCACAGAAAGAGAGCACCTGGTGCAATAGCTCTTAATATATTACACATCTAGTTTCCCAGCTCCAGAAAGGGTGCTGCTGTGCTTTGACAGCTGCTCAAAAGAACTAAACTAAAGATTGCAGGAGCTACAGTTTTCTTTCAAAAAACCTGGGCAGTACCAACTAGTTTAAGACGTTGCCCTAAAATCCCAAGTTTCCCCCCACCAGCATGTACCAGCGCAGCAGGAGCCATTCTCTCCAGCACATCTCAAATTCTGTTTCAAGAAGTTTACATACGTTAGGTTAATGGTTGGACTTGATGATCTTAAAGTTCTTTTCCAACCTAAACGATTCATGAATCTAGAGAATGGTTCTGATACTGATGCATGCCATGCATCCACGATTGGAAGCTTAATTTTTTTTTCTTAAAGCCATAATTTATTCTATGCAGTTGTTTATCGGCAGGTCATGCGTTTCCCCAGGTGCCACCTTTACTGAGGGACTGCCATAAGAAAAATTTTAAGGACTCCAGTTTGAACAATCGATTCACAGTCAAGAATTTCTAATGCAACCTGTCAGTCCACAATCCAATATTCTGAGTCAATCTTAGCAAGTATGTTACCCCTAGAGAGCCAACATGCAACACCATACATGTTGTTCTTAAGTAAGTTTAGGTATTTTGAAAATACGGAGGTAATTTGCTAGAACCCCTACAGAATTCAGGAACTGGAGGAGAGAGCACCACCGTGTTCAAAATAAAGAGGATTTACCCCCTCTTAAGTAGTCAGGGAAATTAACATAAGACTTTTTGATTGAAAAACCTGAAAAATCTGAACTCATTAAAGAAGTCTCTTGGCAACCATTTGATGAGGATATACTTTTTACGCTTACCAGTCTGTGGCTATCAGTAGAAAGCGACCACAAATGTGAAACGAAACAGAGAAGCGATGCTCGACGTTTGTGCGCTGAAAGCTTAAGTAAAGTCCTAACCTCGGCCGGCTACTTCTTGGACAACAGACCCGAGTCATCAGCAGGATCTTTAGTGTAGCCAGCGTGCCTTGAAAACACGTTACAGCAGCAACCACCCAAGGAGGATAAGCCACTTCTACTCCTAGGAACAAACACCTCAGAATCATCCACTTCCTTCCAGAAACACCACTTTAAGAAGTTTAAATCTCTACCAGCGATATTATTCGCTGAGAGGTAAAATATAAAAGCATGTTTTTAAGACGTTTCACACCACATCCTTAGATTTAAGTGCAAGCAAACAAGAACACCATGGCTGCAATGAAAGTTACTTAAATTTGAATGCAGAGAATACTTTATTAACTGATTACAGTTTTGATGACCAATTTAAAACCGTAACTAATATGGGAAACAGTGGGGGACATTAAGGCTGAGCCATATATATATATAGACAAATCTGGATACTGATAATCTGTACATTTAACCTCTGCTTTTTCTTTATACATCTTTTAATCAGTGTCTGAAATTAATTAAAGAGAAAAAAAACCAAAAAACCCTGGCCACTAATTTACTTGTTTCTGGAATGAATTTTTGCATGGGTTTTTGAATGCAGTGTAAATCTCAGAGGAGATCAAACAGATTTTTTTTTTTTTTTTTTTTTTTTTAACTATACTCCAAATGAAGTGTTCAAGTGTAACTGGAGTTTGTCGATAGTTTTGTGCAATTAATTTTCTCTTCCAAAAAAACTAGCAGTAGTTCTCTCCTTTAGAGGTTAATCTATTTAAAGATGGTATTAAACTTGCCTAACAGGTTGGGAAATCGATATAAATTAAGTGCCTGTGGTGTGTATCAGTTTTCTTGCTCTAAGCAACCCCTATCGCTTCAGTGGACGACGTACTTGCACTTGTACAGAATTACACTGACTTTTCAACAAAACCCAGAAAGAAGTTAATTTACTATTCTTGCACTGTGAACAGTACTCCTAACGTGACGTGATAACCGGTTTCCATCTGTACAGCTCCCTTTTGTAAAGTCGGGCAACACAAATGAAGGACAGACAGACATCAACTGTTTGTGTTCTGAAAGATATTCGAGTTCTTTAGTTCCAGTCACTGAAGGAAGAGGCAGAGGCAAGTTTGCATTATCCCAGAAAACTGAACAATTGGTTTTATTTGGTGTCTTCAAGATGCTTCACCTTCTGTGGGAGATGTAGGTGTTGTAGGAGAGACCATTTCAGGTTTTCGTGAAATTCTGTCCAATTCTGCCTGAACATCTGTTAAAACTGGCTTCTGGCCTACAAAAGAAACGCATCTCATTCAGTCATGTTTATTGAAACAGTTTGGGGAAAGCCTACAGTATCTTGAATTTTCAAGGAGCACCTGTCAAACTGAACAAAGAAGCAAAAGCCACAAAAACACAGGTTTTGCATCAGACAAATCCTAAAAACCGTTACCGCACACTTTGAGTGCGGAGTAAAGGCATAAGGCCAAACCCCCAAAGAAACAGAGAAGAAACAGTAGCGAGGAAGTCATGTCCTTCTATATTTCCAATTTCACAATGAAACTTCTATAATTATATATTAATTGTCAGTATATGAAGAGTTAATGCAAAACAAAATACGAAAAAGTCTATTGGGGATAGCAGTTACAAATACTTCTACACAATTTTCTGCATCATATATATTTTAAACAATTCCAAATGTAAATCGGGTGCTTCACGGCAGACCAGGGAAGCCGGTCCCACATACTGGGTCGGCACAAACCTGACGCCACTGCTCACGTCTGCGCACAGACCGGCGGGTGCCAAATCCCTTTCTCTCCTCACCCGCTTACCTCCTCCCTAACTTGGAATGGCACAAACATTTGTGCAGTCGCACTCAGACCTGATCCAAACTTAGACCACACCATTTTTCCCCCCCATCATTTTAGTCTTAACGCTTACTCCCCAGTGTATGTTTCTATCCTGCCACGTTTATCACAGGAATGGAGAAGATAATATGGGAAAAGGCAGCGCAGAACATTAGAGCCTAACGCGACGGCAAGTGTGCGTAGCATCTCAGGCTGTAAAGGAAAATTCTCAGGCAAGTGTGGTTTTAGCAGTGTCCCAGCGTCCTTTCTGAAGACGCAATTTAACAGGAACTATCCGCAAAGCTGATTTTTGCCAGATGTACTGTGCTGCTCTTCAAATCATTTAAAGAAAGCTACTACCGTATCTGAATCAAAGCAGCAAATATTGCAACTAATAATCAGAGGACTTTCCCTTAGCTGCCAGGGAAAAAGTAATTCTCAAATCCCAAGCCATCATCGTAACAGCCAATTTTCAGATATGAAACGTGAGCATTATAGATAACACTAAACGCAAGACAGGAAAGACTGAGGAAGGTGAAGGGGCCGCATCTAAGCCAAACATTTTTATTTATGGTAATGCCTGGAAAACTTAGTCCTTTGCCATGTTGAACTGGCTACACCCTAACCCTTCATTTGCTGTATTGTAGGAAGTTTCTGAGCACATTTTTTCTCCTTCGTAATTTCTGTTCTTGAAGTTTCTGCCACAGCCTCAGCCACACTGCTTTTCTGAAGCCCTGCTTCTGTCTGCCTGGCATCACCCAAACCCATGAGCGGCCACTCCCCACAGGGTTTTTCAGTGGGTGCTCTCCGCATCTCGTATTGCGTCAGCTCCATTTGTTTGGACAATCTCCATACTCTGTTCAAGCCAGCATCGCTGACTTTGCCCACAGCAGGCGAGGCAGTACTCATAAAACTTTGCTCAGCCAACTGAGCTTTGCATTTAAAAAAGGGAAGTGCATGCGTTAAAAAAAAAAAAAAAAAAAAAAAAAAA